AATCTAAACTTTTCTGATTTTTTTTCTAGTAAATTTTCAGCTTCTCTAACTCAGAAATTTCCTTGTTTTTTTTCTAGACGATTTATAAGATTAATCTCAAAATCTCAGGGTTTTTTGGTAAAATGTACTCGTCTTTTTTTTATTTTCTATCTGCACTGGCTTTAATACGGCGTCATCCTATCTGAAGCCAAGTTAAAGATTCCTTTGACATATCCTGTACTTAAACCTGATATATTTTCCATCTTCCAGCTGAAGACGAGTCTGAACCAGAGGGTGATGAAGAGGAGGAGGATAAGTCAGCTGAAAACTCGAAGGAGCCGCGGGACTCGGGTTGCTTTGAGAGCTCAGAGAACCTGGAGAACGGCCGCGAGGAGCCGAAGACGGAGGAGGAAGAGTCAAACCAGCCAACAGAGAGAGAAGAGGAGAAGTCGGAGGAGACACGGGAGGCCGGGGACCTGGAGGCCGTCCAGGATCAGCTGCAGGAGCTGGCGGTGGACGAAGGACAGTGATGGAAAACTCTCAAACATTCCCCTCTGATTTCTGAGAGGGAACGGCATTTAACGTCTCTCTTCATCGAAAGAGAGCAGATTGAGCCACTTCATTGCTTCAAGCCGGCCGTCCGTTACTGAAGGCTGATTTTCCCATGATAACGATGATTTCACAGCTCGCTTACAAGCAACACAAACTGTTACCAGCTGCCACAGGGGGCAGCTTTTTTTAACCAACTTGTAAAATATGATGTTATAACTTTACTTGAGGCGTGTTTTGTTGTATCACTATAATGTCTATGCTAAAGCATTCAAGGGTTTCACTCGGGCCCCTACTCTGTCCTTTGTGTTTCAGTGTTTTCCTTCATGAATGTAAACTATCTTCACATTTTTCATGTATCTAAAATGTCACTGTTGTTGTTTTCTGTGACTGTAAATAAATTAAATAAACTTTAATCAATAGAGTGTAAATAATGTTGGTTAATCCCTGATTAAATTGGTCTTTAGTTCTGCGTTAAAATTCTCAGGTATCTGGTTAAACATTTTCACTGCTTTCCATAAATGCTTTTTTTCACTAGTTGCCATGGAGACAGTAGCTGATAAATTATAACATCAGAGTTTCCTTTCCTGAAGCTCCTCCCCTCCCTAACGCAGTGCATTCTGGGAGTAATATTCACAAAGATACCATCTTCAGCAACATTTTGATGAGTCAACAAACAGCAGAGTACAGTTGGTGTCAAATATTTTTCATTTTAAAGATATTAATAAATGTTTCTAGAGGTCAAAGGTCAACTAGCCAGTCCACATTCACAAAATTGAAATAAATATTGTGTCAATCATCTGTGCTACATTTGTGCTGCAAAAATATTTGTTTGGACTGCAATAATTTAAAAAAAATGAAATTTGATGTTTGTGCTGCTAAAATTGTAGAAGCAGTTAACTGACACCAAATTTGTTTGACTTGTTAACCTTTGATGACCTCTGGAAACATTTATCAATATCTTTAAAATTATAGCAGCACAAAATGTTTTGCTGCTCAGACCTAACTTAAACATTTGACACTAATTTCATTTAATTCTGAGACCTTTCCACTAATGCAAACACACCTGCGTACAAAACTATATTCAAATTGTGAAAAAATATTTAAAAAGTCTGTTTATAGTAAGACAACATTGTTTATTTAATGGACACACAGATCAAGTAAAAAGAAGTGAAGCAATTTGAATGAAATACAGAGAATCACAGTGTTATGTTGATACCAAACAAAGAAAACATAAATAATGATTCCTTCAAAGTATCTGTATATATAATGCGGTGTAACTGGCTGATCAGAGCATTCAGATCTGATCTTCGTTTCAACACAGGAATTATAAATACAAGAGCTAAGACTGGTCTTCAAAAATAAAAAACATAAAAATCCATCAGACCCTTTAAAATGTGCTTCAAAAACACAAACATCCCTTTTCTCAAATGTCCACTACCTACATTCCTGCTTCTTCATAATAACACCAAGCCGTCTTAAAATACCTTCACAGTAAAGGAGTTCAGCTTTAAGTTTAGCACTTTTTACTGGCAATTTAACATTTAAAATACAGCTGTATCATGGCAACATTTTGGCGTTACACAAGCTGCTTTAGAAATGTAAACTTCTGTAAATTTCCATAGGTTATCATGATGTTATGGATACGAAGTGGCCAGCTTTGTTTTAAAGACATTCTGTTAGCTTCAGTCTGAACCTCCATTAACAAGTGCCTTATGTAAGATTAAACTAAACCCCCTTCGACTTAAATAAATCTTTCTGGGCAGAAATGTCTGATATAAAACTTGAAGTCTACACAAGAAAGATTCACAAACACAAACTCTGTCTTGCATACAACACAGTCACTACTACAGACTCGCTATCAGCTAACACTTTCTAAATACTAACGTGTGAAAAGATCTTCCCGCTCTTTTCTCTGCGATTACATCCCGTCAAAACCGTCTGATGTGTCAGGTGCTTCTTCTGCAGGAGCAAATATCAAGAGACGGAGTTTACTGAAGAGGCAGGAAAGGAGAGAAAATGCAAAGGAAGGAAGATCACCTCTGCCATAGTTCACAGAAGGTGCTGAACAATAAACCCCAGCCACGCTTCCTTATACGTTACTTTAAGATGTTTCATCGCAGCTCTACCTAACAATGTACAATAAATAATGGTTTTACTTTTCACCACAAACTCCAGTTTCTCATCTTATCAGATGTTTTTGTGGCCACGTCAAAGGTGGAATACTGTATCTCTAAAAAGAGTTTTCTATTAACTTCTGATGGAAAATCAGTTTTTCAAGCATCGTTATGTAAGATATATTGTTGCAGTTTCCCTTTTATAAAAGAAGAAAATTTAGATGGTTTGTTTTGGCTGTAAAATTAAGAAACTAGTTTTCCAAATCTCACCAGATCAGATATTAGCAGCTTAGCTTTTCTGAAAATGTGTTTATTATTATTATTAAAGACTAAAAGTACTCATTTACATACAACCAAATGTTAACGAGAAATTTTTTTTAATTTAGAGAAACAAAACGTGGGATTACAAACCGTTTTTCTAAGCAGGGGGTTGTTTTCACACTAAACTAAGCTAAAGTTAAACTAGTCAGTTCCAGTAAATTTTAATCCCACATAATTGGATTTAATCCCCAAAAAGCCCAGTTATCTTTTAATTATCTAAACCATTAGATTGATCCAATTTAAAATAGTCACAAATTAATCTTCAATTTACATCTTGAAAAATTTGAGTTTCTTTTCATAAGTATTGTGAAAAAAAAAGATTGTACCAGTTTTGTTAACGCAGAGTTAATTACAGAATGTAGTTATTCTACTTTATTGTTGTTCTGAAAGTTAAATTAAGGAATCAGTCCTGCTACCGCAGCAACTAGTTAGCTTAAACGTAACTTAGCAGAAAACAGAAAAGCTTCATTTATTTTGGGAAACCTTTACAAAAAAGGAAAAGACATTTTCCTTTTACTAAGCAGCGCATTTAATATTGGCTTATATTCACAAAGGAAAACTAAGCTAAGCTATGCTAAGCTAAGCTAAGCTATGCTAAGCTGCACCAAGTTTTTTTGTTTCTTCCATCAACTGAAAAATCAGATTTAAACTAAGCTAAGTTCATTTATGATAATTGTTTTGTTTTTTCTTCAAAAATTCTAATTATATTTTAAATAACTAATCATTTTGTGAAACTGTTATTTCTCAGTTAAAACATAAAATCAATTCTGGATTTTTAAAAATCTTTTTCAAAGCTTTATGAGTCAAAATGTTTTTTTCAGTTTGCTTTTTAAACCAGATTAAAGTTTAAATGGTCCCTTTTTGAATTTTGTTCCGAGTTAAATGAAGAAATCCACTTAGACCAATTCAGCATTCACAGCTAGTTAGCTTAGCTTAAACAGAAGAAGCTTAACTTATTCTGTTTAAAATATGTAGAAATCATAAAACACTTGAAGATTTCCAGAAATACAAATTACTGTCATTGTCTTGTAGCAGATTTACGAAGCAATTTGTCACACAAATGTAAACTATAAGCTAAGCTACGCTAACAAACTAGCAAGTCCCACCGCGTTTTTTTAAGTGGCTGCAGCAAGATGGTTGCCATCTTTTCTTCCAAAAAGTCAGATTAGCTTTTGTAGCTGATTTTTGATTCAACACTGTTAGAGGATCATCCCTGTTGCTCGAGTTGCAGCTGCATTGATAAGGCACTGTTAATGTGAGTGTCGACGCTCATTAGGCCTTTTCTTTCCTCAGACTCAGGGGCTCAACGCCACCTGCAGCCTCAACATCACACTACATCCTTAGTTATTTAAAAAAAAAACCTAAACCACAGCAGTTGAGATTGATTTAAAAAAAGATGCACATACGTGTGAACAGCACTCAATGCAGCAGAATCAGAAGACAATTGGTAGGCGTTACCTGGAAGGAGTCCGACCTACGAGCGATTCCTCCTGCGTCCACGTCACATGTTCCCCCAGGTTAAACCAACTCATACCCATGTTCTAACAAAGATGCTTTTCCAGCCTCACAATGGTTTGCATAGGGTATGTAATTTATGTACAGCATAGATGACGCACTGCAAAAACAATAAATACTACCAAATACTTATGGTCTAGGTTTAGTCCAAATATTTTAATTCACTTAAAATAAGACAAAACTAACATACAAGCAGAGTTGGGTAGTACATGTGAGCTACATTTACTCACATGTACTTTTAGGAGTATTTTTACTAAGCTTCCCTTTTTACTTTTACTTGAGTCATTTTGTTCTGAAGTATTTCTGCTCTTACTTGAGTAAAATTTCTGTTTTCTACCCACTGAATGGAAACATGTTTTAGCCAAAAGTTCACCAGACACAGACACACTCCTGCAGTTTTTGTTAAAATGTCATAAGTTTTTTATTGAAAGAAACTGCCTTGATAAAAAAAAAAAAAAATTAGCCTATTTTTAGTATTTTTTGTTACTAATATGAATTATTGTTATCTTTGTCCTTAAAATATCTAAATTTTCACTTAACTTTATATTCTGGTCCGTCTGATGATTTAATTTTAAATATTAAATGATTGATAAGTGGATCAGTTACTCCGTACTTGAATATATATTTTTACCAAATACTTTTTTACTGTTATTTGAATAATTTCTTGGATGCTACTTTTCAGTTTTACTTGAGTAAAAACATGTTGAAGTACTGGTACTCCCACTTGAGTATAATTTTTAGATCCTCAACTCCCCTCTGGATTTAATCAGAAGGAAACTGTCTGGTTAAAGTTAAATGTTGGACAGTTCTGGAAGAAAACTGCAAAATACTAGAAACCAGGTCAGGACCTACAAGTTAGAATGTCCCAGTCAAAGTCACAACTTAAGTCCAATTAAGAATCCATAGGAAAACTTGGAAAGAGATTATCAAAAATAATTTCCATCCAGTTTAGACGTTTTACTTTTACTTGAGTAAGAATACATTGCAGTAGTGGTACTATTACTCGAGTACGACTCTTGTGTAGTTTCTCTGGCAGATTATTGCACTTACAAGAAGACATGTTTCCCTTGTTACAAGTGAAATAATCTGTACTTTTTCATCAATATTCAGGAATTATTTACTCAAAACAAGCTCTTACATCTTCCTGTAAGTTAGTTTTGTTTTATGTACAGCATAGATGCTGTACATGTGGCTAAAATATCTGCTCTAGAAAATCTAAAATACTTGGTAGGATTTAGAGTTTCTGCAGTGTTTTTGATTCAACCGATGTTCAGGAATCAGACCCTTCGTCTCTGATGCTTGCTATAACTGAACTGGCCTCTGGATATAAATGTTGACAGTTTCAGATGATGAACAAACAGACTAACAATCAGCGTTGGCTCTCCGAGCAGCATCTCTCCTGCGAGTCTTTTCCATGCAGTGGTCAGGAGACGGGAAGCTGCTGATTTTCCTTCTCTTCTAGGAGTCAAACGTCTCTGCAGGAAAAGCGCAGGCGCTCCAATCCGTTAAAGGTCAAAGGTTAACTGAATACCCCTCATATGATCAGGTGCTGATTATTATTGTTTTTCAGTTCATGAGTCGACAGATTGCTGGTCCGTCCAGCTACTGGTTCTTGGCGATGGACGTCTCAGCATCGGTCTCGGGGGAAGCCAGCGGCGGCAGCATGGCGGCCGGCGGCTGGTCGTCTTTCGGGCCGGAGCTTTTCTCTGCTGCGATGCTCGGCTTGACGTCGTCAGGCGTGTGCTCGTTGGGGATGAGAGGAGCTGTGGTTTTCTGTGGAAAAGATGCAGAGAAAGAGGTTAAAAAGAGAGAAAAGAAGGTCACACTGAGGTCGTCATGGTAACACATCGTACTGGGCGATAAATTGTTCCAAAATTTATTGCGATAAACGATAAAATTGTTGTTTTCAGATTATTTTCAACTAATATAATGCAAGATCATACTCTTAAAGATCAATAAACTTTAAGTTCTGATTAACATTTAACATGGGAAAAGATTTTAAATCTCCAAAATAAAGAAAACAACAGAAATAACAAATAAAATTCATTATTAAGTCTCTGTAAACAAAACTGTTCTTCAAAATAAAGGTGTAGTTGAGACCGAAGCACCACCAACTTTCATCATCTAGTTTTTGAAGAAAAAAAAAAGAAGACAAAAACAATAAATGATACAAACGGAAATTATTGAGTTTGCTTTACGTAATCATGTGATTTATAGATTTATTGCTTTTTGTGACAGTCTTAGCCACACTTTTCAGATTTTAATCAGTCAAAAATTTTACAATTGCAATTGTTGGCAGCTTTGTGTTGATCTCTTACAAAATATCATAATAAGGTTCATGGTTCACACATGAAAAAATGGTAAAAGGTTCAAGGACTGTGGGAACATTAAAATCAAAACTACAGAGTAAAAGAGCAAATATTTTAAATAAAAATTTAAAATTTGGATAACATTTTTCAAGCAAAATAATAAATCAAACATTTGGATGTTTTGATTTTTGTTACTTATTTATTACCAATGTTATCACCATGTATTTAATATATCTTTAAAAAATATCATAACTTAAGATTTTGAATCCTAAAAGTAAGCAAAAAGCAGACAAATATCCTGAAATAATAAATTCTCTTTTTACATCTCTTACTTCTTTTTGTTAATTTTTATTTTATTTTGATTTTGTAACAAAATTTGAATCAGGAGAAGCTAAAATTGCAACTAGAAGATTTCAGGGTAGAAAGAATTTACAGATAAAGAAGTTTAGTTACATTTATTATGCAAAATGTTGATTTTTTTTTTTTTTGCAGTTTTGGTGTAATTACTGCTCTGAGTGTATTGTTCTCAAAGGAATTATTCTCTTTTGAGTCAGTTTACTCCTTTAATCAATGACTAAATCAGCTGACGATCATTCCAATAATCTGATTAATCGCTGGCTGTTTGGTTGCACCTTGCAGCAGAGGACTGACTGGGGTGAATTAATGCGCTCACCGTAGTTTGTGCCACTGGGTTGTCGAAGGAACAGGGACCTTCGCTGTTCGCAGCAGCGGGCGAATCCTCCTGCATCAGCCCTCGTCTGTCCAAGACGCTGAAGGGCAGAAAACGGGTCAGAAACTGAATGTGGCGCTCATTACTGATCCGAACAGGGAATAAATGGAGCAACCAGACCAGGAAATGTTTTATAAGTAGAGAAGAAATGAAGGAACTGAAGGAAAGCGGAGGTATTCACCTGGGGTAGGTCGGCCCACACAGAACCTCGCAGCAGTTTTTGATGATGTTCTTGTGGCTGTAAGGATTCTGGCCTCTGTTCTTCCCAGACCAGGAGCCTTTAATCTAAAAACAAAACGCACAGCAACACCAATCAGAGCAGCAGCAAACACCAAAACACGCCCTGCAAAGTCAACCGGTTCATTCCCACAGTCCCTCCTTCAGCTTATACCTTATTCAAAAGCATGCTTCCGTTTTTAGACGATATTCCCACCGGCTTTGGTTTGACCTACTAAAATTCATCCTGCAGGATTAAACGATTCCTGCTTTAACTCCGTTCACCACAAAGAGAGCGTGGAAAGATTAAAAACTCTTAGTTAATTCATGAACATGCTTTACGAAACGGATTAATGACAGAAATACCTCCAAATTATCACGGCTGCATCTCCACTCATCACATAATGAGGTTTGAAATTTAGCTGAAGTTAATTAAACTAAACAACGCAGGATTTAAACTATTTATGACGAGTTTATCTACTTTCTGTGAGCAAAAACACAAAATCTTACTAAATATCTCTCATGCAAATATCTGAGTTTAAGTAACATTTCAGCAAGATACAGGAGCTTGTTTTAACAAATAAATTTTTAATATTGATGAAAAAGTTCTACTTCCACTGAGATTATTTCATCATGGCAAAAAGGTCTCGCTATAAGCAAAATAATCTACGAGTGTAACTAGAACTTTTAAGTGGAAGTTTTGGTACTTTAGGGGCGAAAATGATAATAATTCATATATGTAACAAAAAATAACAAAATCAGGCAACAGAAAATCAGTTTCTTTCAATTAAAAAACTTACAAAACTTTATCAAAAACTGCAGGTGTGTGTCTGTTGTATTAGCACTACTTCAACATATTTTTACTCAAGTAAGAGTAAAAAAGTATTTGGTAAAACACAAGTACTGAGTAACTGATCAAATTATCAATCATTTAATATTTAAATAAATTATACACTTAGACCAAAATATAAAGTTAAGTGGAAATTTTGGTATTTTAAGAACAAAAATTACAATAATTAATATAAGTAAAAAATAAAATAAAATCAGACAACAGGACATTTTCCAAATCAGCTTCTTTCAATAAAAAATTGATTTGGAAAATTTAACAAAAACTGCAGGTGTGTGTCTGTTTATGGTGGATTTTTGGTTGAAACATGTTTGTTTTTCATTCAGTTGGCAGAGAAAACAGAAATTTTACTCAAGTAAGAGCAGAAATACTTCATAATAAATTTATTCAAGTAAAAGTAGAAAGTACAGTAAAAATAGAAGTTACTCAAGTAAATGTAACTAGTTACTACCTAACTGTACACTCAGAGATAAACAGATGTAGATAAACCAGATTAAAAGACAGAAAGTGCATCTGTAACATGACTCCTACGGCTCAGCATGAACTAAACGACCCGCCTGCAGGGCAGAGAAGACAGAAGAATGCTTCTGGTGGTAAACATGTAGGTCACCAGGCACCGTGTGTGTGCGTGTGTGTGCGCGTGCATGCATGCGTGCATGCGTGTGTGCATGCGTGTATGGGTGTGCGTGTGCGCCTGCATGTGTGTGAGTGATCTATGGGAAACCAGAGCGGCTGTACCACTCAAGGTGCCTCCATCATGCCGCTGTGCTTCTGGCTACGCTCCCAGACCCTGCAGGTATCGATGTATCTATTATTAGGCTGATCACAAACGCTGAAGCGACCGGGCTGACAGCCATCGCTTCATCTCCCGCAGCGGGAAAAAAATAAATAAAAAATCACAGGTCGCAATGCTTCATTACTGATTAAATGAATGGAAAAAATGAGGCCAGTCATCCCACTGGAAAGGAGCAAGGGGACGATAAATTAATCATTACAACAAAGTAGAAGAGCTCAAACCACTAACATCATCGTTCCTGCTTCGTTTTTGAAGTTCTGCAGTCAGACGTTGGCTTGAAAACACAGAATATCTAATAAACATACAGCACCTGTGAATCTGTTCTCACTTCTGTGGGTAATTAACGACCAAGCACAATAAAAATGATCAATTGTTCTATTCTTATCTGGTTTGGGCCTCAGAAGCTTTTCTAAAAGTAGCCCAGAGGTCCGGGGAAAGAAACAGACGAGTCTGTTTTGCCCTCAGATGTGACAACGGTTTTAAGAATAGAAGCTATTTATACGTATTTTTAGATGATTAGATAACATTGAAAAAAAAAACTGCCATTTCAGGTTCCAGCTGACTTAAATACGTTCAGAAGCTAAAACAAAATCCAGAAACAAAATGGAGCTGAAAACAATACAGACAATGTAAGTGTTTTTACTTTAAAGAGACATTTTATCAACATATTTACACATTTTTATACTTCTATTTGAGTCTCTACTGCTTCTAAAAACAGCCTAAGTAGTAAAAAAAAAAAAAAAAAAAAAAAAAAAAAAACCTACATGACCCACTGTCATTTCTTGACAATAAACTGGTGGTTTTTATTGTCTGGAAATGAGCCATTTTTAAAACCTCCCGAATGTTAAGTCACATTCCGCAGGCGGTGCACCGTTACCTAGCAACCCCAGCCAGCCCAGTACCGTTACCTAGGAACCCCAGCCAGCCCAGTGCCGTTACCTAGCAACGACAGCCAGCCTGGTGCCGTTACCTAGCAACAACAGCTGAGTTATAACTCTTTTGGTTAGCTGGTTAACAGGCTTCAAAGTGTTGGGTTGGAATAAAACAGCTTTTGGGCAGGTTGTTAAAATTTGAGCTGCTTTTCACAACATTTGGCGGATTTTTAGAAAGTTTTCAGAGGAAAATTCTTATTAATAGTTGTTGCTATGTGGCAGAAAAGCACAAAACTTTTACTAAAATGCTTATTGGCTCATTTATTTTGAAATGTCTAGAATCTGCTGAATGTGAGATCATCAGTGATTAGTCACTGGTTAAGTGTAAAACAGAACTTCATGGGCGATATTATTTAAAGGACATACTGTATCAGCATAAAAAGTCTCACTGTGTTCAAAGAGTCCCAATTGGACCTGGTACTGGTCAGAATATAATAAAGGAAAACGACCTATGGCATTTATAATTAACAGACATATGTGACTACATATGACTTTTTTAACATGAGTTTCAGCTGAGACTTGGGCTGATTTTATTTTATTTTTTGGGGGTTTTATGTTGTGTTTGGGCTGGAAACTGTTAGTCAGATCTGGCAACCCTGCAGCTGTATGCGCTGTACAATGGCTTCTGGAAAAGACAAAGAGTTTTGTTGTTGACTTACTACTCAGAAACCACTTGCTGTGTTGTTGTTGGTTATGCAGGAGGCTCTACTGATGCTTTTCAAAGATGTACAGTTGCATAATTGTGCATTGGTTTGTAGCCATTTTGGCGCAAGAATGATTTTGTGCAAAAAATGTAATGAACATGTTTAGCATATCCCATAGATCTATCCTAACGTCTTTAAGGAAGTATAATAAGTCACCTTTAAATTATTATTTATCTGGAGCTTCTTTTTCTATCTCGAGGAATATAACCTTAATTTTTTTACAACAGAGTCGACCTTAGTTTACAACACAAAGGTCTTGTTAAACAAGCTGCGGTTTACGAGCCACTCTGTCCTTCAGGGGTGAACGAGGTGCTGCAGTTGTCACGGTAACGGTATCAGCTCTTCGATGGCGCAGAGTTCACACCTCAATGATGCCGTTAGGATTTCTGATCTCTATCATCACAGACTTAATTATCTACACTGTCTGCAAAATTTCAGAATTACCAAATGCTAAACATGTTTTCAAGTTGAATTATTTTTTATATGTGATTAAAATATTTAGATGTACTGTTTGAGAATTGTCAAAGAAATAAAAAAGACAAAAAACAGAGAAAAACAAAAACAAAAGAAACAGAAAAAAGGAAGAGACGATGAAAAAAGGAAAAAGAAATGTATAAAAGAAACAGAAAAGAAAGGAAGAAGAGAGAAAGAAAGAAAAAAGTGAGAAAGAAAAGGAAGAAAAATAAAGAGAAATAGGAAAGAAAGGAACAGAAAAACGAAAAGGGAAGAGAAAAACGTATGAGAAAAAGGGAAAAGAAGGAAAGAAAAAAAAGAGGGTAACAAAAGAGAGAAAGAAAGAAAGAAAGAAAGAAAGAAAGAAAGAAAGAAAGAAAGAAAGAAAGAAAGAAAGAAAGAAAGAAAGAAAGAAGATCACAAAAGGAAAATTGGAAAAAATAAATAAATATTTTTTTCATAATGAGGAAGGAACAGAAAAAAGAAAGAAAAAGAAAGAATGAGAAGAAAAGAGAACAAAGAGAAAATGGAAAAAGAAACAAATAGAAAAGACAGACAGAAAAAAGGATGCAGGGCAGTGAAAGGATCCTAAACCACTTACGTCCTCGTTGGTGGTCTGGTTCAGAGAGATGAGGTACGTGTGGAAACCAGTCAGTCCCACCATCGACCACAGGGTGAAGAAGCACACCAGCACTTCCAGTACAGTGAGTTCCAGTTAAGAAACCACAGCAGGTCTGAGTCATGGCCGCCAGTAAACGGACGGTGGTGTTAAAACAGCTGGAAGTTATACAAGGTGATTAAAGACGTCCGACGGAAAAGCACGGAGAACGGACGGATTCCTGCTCCTACAGACAGATTCACGTTTAATTAAAAGTTACAGATGCTCTTTATTTTCTTTATTGTTTAGTTTTATTTTGTTGTGACTTTTATTTGTCTAATTAAGTTATTTATATTTAGTTTTTAGAGTGTGTTTGCTAGTTTTCATTCGCTAAATATTTTTAGCTTCAGTTTAGTTTTTAGTAGTTATAATAGTAGTTTTAGTTTTTTCATATTTTGGTTAATTTTTAGGTGCAGAATTCAAAAAGGTGAAAGTATTTTATTGTGATTATGTTTACACTGATTGGGTAATGAGTACTGAAAGAAGACACATTTTCAAAAACTATATTTACCAACTGATTCTGGTGTTTCATACCAAACTTTGCTGTCAGGAGGATTATGGCGATTTACCGACAGCTGATGTTGAGCGGAAAAAAAAACAACAAAAAATATAAATTTCACATCAGCTTGAAAGGCTAATTAACGGATAATAAACAAAAAAACAAAGGTTGTTATATTTATAATTTCAGCATGTTTTAGTTACTTTTTATAAATTAACAGTATGGTTCTAGTTAGTTGCAGTTTTTCCTCCATTAATTACCGTTTTTGTTTATTTCAGTTAATTAAAATATTTTCTCAGTTTCAGATTTTGATATTTTGTTAGTTTTAGTTAACTAATAACCTTTCTTCAGATCTTGTTTCCATCTTGGAGTAGTGAGGATATTCCACCTCTCTAAGCTGTGTTGTAAAACTTGTCAGGAACCAAATGGGACCAAACATTTGTTACTGATTATTCACTCCTGCCACTTCATTTACAAGCCAAGAAAAGAAACAGTTTGGAACAGTTTACTGAAAAGAGGAAGCTGCTACTTTGAGAACAGGACAGAGAGTCCTTAAAATAACCACTCGACTTCCTCTGATGTATAAATAACATCCGTTATAAATATCAGGCCCTAAACTGGGGTCAAAGGTCATCATTTGGGAAGAATAAATCCAAACTGTCCGTTATGATGTCACTGAGTTAACTTGTTTGTGCTTCATAAAATTATGTGTCCCAGTAATTTATCTACCAAAAATGAACAACACAGGTATATAATATTTAATAACTTTTTGATTTACTTAACTGAAATTCAGTGTTTTTTTATAATAATTATAGAGATGCACCAGTTTGGTTTTAAGTTATTTAAGACTGTTTTAAATACAGCGCTAGCATCACAGGAAAGAGAAAAACAAAAAACAAAAGGATGAATCAATCCCTGAATAAACGTTTAGTTAACAATATAGCCTGTTACTGATAAGGTAACTAACAGTAACTTCATTTCCAATAAAAATGTGTGCAAAATGAGGATATTCTATTGTCAAAAAAACAATTTCAATTAATAAGAAATGTAATTAAAATCACAAGTGAACAAGTTTATGTAATATATGAATAAAAAACCAGCACCACCATCATCCTCCTACCACTTCCGGTCGTAATTTATTGTGGTTTTCGCCAGTAGTAACTTGATGCTGATAACATGACTTGTGTGAAGTGAGGAAAGTGTTTCGATTGCAGTTTAGCAAAACACACTAATTTTGATAAAACCAAAAAAAAAATCATCCTAGCGCAAAAACCTTTTATTGAAAAAGTTTATTTCTAAACTGGCGTGTGAAGGAAATAAGGAACAGACAAACAGAGGAAGAAAGTTCTTGACTTTCTTAAAACATGGCGCGCACACACAAACACACAAAATGTATTCATATTTAAAGGATATGTTCCAGGTGTTTCCTTCAAGGTGTTCAGAAAGCCGTGATCCACGGAGCCTGAGGACAAAGAGAGACAGACAGCAGAAACACGGAGGTAAATGTGCTGAAAAGTAAAACTCATACATAGAGTATGGCACTAAACGGGGATTATTATACCAAATTCTAATCAGTATATCCATTTGGGTTTCTACTGCTTCTAAAAACACTCAAAGCACTTTTAAAAAATCACCAGAGAGTTTTTGCCAATAAGTTAATGCTTTTTTGGTGTCTGGAAGATGAGCCATTTCAAAAGCCTCCAGGTTGTTAAGTCACAATTGACGGGCACTGCGCTGTTACCTAGCAACCAGCTGAGCTCCAGCACATTTGGTCAGCTAGTTATACACTGTAGTGTATAACTAGCTGTATGTGATGTACAATGGCTGCTGGAAAAGACAAGACAACTTACCATCCAGAAACCACTTTCTGCACACTTGTTGGTTGTGCAGGAGGCCCTACTTCTGCTTTTCAAACATGTGTGTTTTTATGATGTAAAGAAGTTTGAACTGCCTTATTGTTGAAATGTGCTGCATGAATAAACTTAACTGATGTGTTTGAAGCCTTTTTCACGGGTGAGTCTAAACATTAAGTTTGGGGGCGTGGCCAGCAGCAACTTATTTGGATTTAAAGTGACAGGACGCCCTAAAAATGCTCTTTCTGAACAGGCAGAACTTACGACTGAAATCTCATTTTCTAAGAAGGATTTTGTGCAAAAATATTTACTGAAAAATGTTTTGTATCGCTACGTTTTCCTTTAAAATAAGGTCAAAGGCCAACTATGATCTCTTTCTGTACAAAAAAAGCAGCAAATCACTTCAGGTTACTTCTGAGGCTCCAGTTGATGCAACATGAACAATCAGCTGCTATGAAGCTCCTGTTGCATCACGTTCTTCCAGATCTGCCACATTCCTGCTGCCGTACTCACGCATGACGACGTGGACGATGTTGAAGGCGAAGATGTAGATGGTGAGCAGGGACAGCGTCAGGGTGAACAGGTAGAAGTACCTGTAGTTCCTCTTGCCCACGCAGTTGCCCACCCACGGACAGTGGTGATCAAAACGGTCTGAAAAACAACAACATTCTCCGTTGATATGTGAAAACAACAAGCTGAGGCGTTGTTATAGAAATCGAATGTGTGAAAAATGACACCAGCTTTCTGTGAATCTGGAGTCTAAAAATAGTTTTCTTCCTCCTCCGTGTTTGGAGCGAAGCCAGAGGAAAGCAGGGCAGGGTCGAAACGAACAACGGGGAGAAAACATTACTGCACTGATATTTACCCCAGTTTCAAGATACTGAAAACACAGTCAGGTTAGGCTAACTATTGTTTTATAGAAGGTAAAACAAACTGGTAAACCCAAATAGTTTCATCCAGTTTGACTTTTACTTGTGATATAATTTATTTATTTTTAGGCATTTAGCCTCTTTAACCTTCTATGTTCCTCAAAGGCCTTCAGATTTAAACAGAAGTTCAAACAGTTTTTAGAAGTTACACAGAGTTTGAGGGAAATTGTTTGATTTGTGTTCATTTTATGTTTTTAATCAAGAGTGATTTGACACAAACTTAAATTACTTGTCAACAAACTTGAGGCAAAAATGTTGAGTTTCTTTCTAAATTCATCGATCCCTCAAGTTTTTTACTTTTTAAAAAGTAAAATAATGAAGTTCACAATAACATTGTAATTATATTTAAAGCAAAAAGGCTTTAAATAAGCAAACGGGAATAGAGAGATAGATAGATAGGAAGGAAGGAAGGAAG